GTTGAATAGTCTTCGACCTCAATTCTAGATTGAAGGAGCTGCATTCTTTGTTCCTCTTTTTTTCTTCTACTTTTTCTTCTTCTTTTTCTTATCCATCTCTCTCCCTCTCTCTTCACTTAATCGATCTGTATATAAGCATCTTTTTTGTCGCTAATTTACCGGCATCAATCGACCTCAACAACGTCATTAACTCGTCTCCAAAAAAAAAAGTTTTTTTAACTTTCTTAACGCTTCTATGACCATAACATATTGTTTTTGGCCAGGTTTTTTAGGTTAATAACGGTAGATACGAATAAAAGATGAACAATATCAAGAGAAGTTTGTCAGAAGGAGAAAAGGTGGCAGAGCTACGACAGATCTTAATGATTCAACACATTTTTCTTCTTTTTTTCTTTTTTTTTTGGCAAAATGTTTATTTGTGCGAAAAAACTACTTTTTTTATTTGCTTATCTATTGGTACTTGTTTCTTTCTTTTTCCCCTTGACTGTTCTTTGTAATCTAATTAGCTTAATGTAATAAAGAGATAAATAACGTCGATAAAGATGATCAGTAACAAACAGTGATTGAATCTCCAATTAACACTAGAAAATGACTGAGCATTCTGACAACACATACTTATTTTACTGTGTACTTGAAATCTTACAATTTTTACGATCACAGAGTTATTTGCTCCTAACTGCTATTTTGTTCCTTAGTTTTTACTGCTCGGGTTTTCTGTTTTTGCTCTATTCCGTATAATTGGTTTAGAATTATTTACAAACCTCCATAGTTCTAGACAGTGATGAACAGCAGCAACAACATGCATGGAAAACACTGTTCCTGTTTCTACTGCCCTACCAACCAACTGGTCAACGACCAAAAAAAAACCCGTTGTTGTTGGTCGTTGCTATTGTTGATTGCTCTAATCTGATCTTAAACCCAATAATAGTCCACCTGCGTAACAACAAACAGAAAATAAACGTTTGAAGATGAATCAAATGAAAACTTGTCGCCGTACACTTTATAGACTGTTCCACCATCACCAACACCACCAAACTGATAATGCTTTATGCGACACGAAGGTCAAATTTGAAGAATCTTATTCTTTCCATAGTTGTTTTTAGGTTCACTTCTTTTTTGCAATGTTTAGGACATAGTTTATCGTTGTTTATAGAAGAAAAGTGTTTGAGCATGGACATTCTTCGATCAGGTCTTCACGTGATGTTTATGACTGGTGGTTGGTTAGAAAAAACCTTTTTTGCCCAAACTAATGGGTCTCTGAGTGCGTACCACTCAGATCTTTTGTCGCGCCGTGTTTCGGCGATTGGTGTCAACCAGTTAGTTGTTCAGGAACCGAAACTGGTGTCCAATAATTGCATTAAACCGGAATCATCATCGTTGAACATTTAGACGCATGTCAACAAACTTAGACTTGGTGATTTTCTTCGACTCATTTTGCTCGCTTTTTTTCCCTCTTAATCGTCAACAGGTCATATTCAATCTTTAAAACCTACCTTTATAAGATCAAAATTGCTGACAGTCAAAGAAGAGCTTTTATTTAAATCTTCTTAATCTTCTGAATCCTAGAAAAGTTTGTTCTAAAATGATACGAAAAACTGTCAAACAACAACAACAATAAAAAAACTGTTATTTTTAGTACTGTGCAATGAAATGAATATTCAGTACTTGTGACGTGAAAAACCTAAAGAAGATATTTTTTGTACTGTTTAATTTTAAATTACAATTATGACATTGGGACAAAGATTGCTAGGAAGTTTGTGGTCAGTAGCAGTAAATCCTAATCGGCTTGACAATTATTAAAGATGTTTATAACAAAAGAATTTAAAACGGCAAAAAAGGTTCGGTAAAATAAAATACACTGAAAAATTGGTAATGTGCATTTCATTGATGATGACGATGATGGTGATGATGCTGGATGAATTGAGGTCAATGTAGAGCACAGAAAATTTATGTAAAATCATCTGCAGGTTACAACAAAGGTTTCGCAACCAAATCATTTCCATTTGTTCTGTTTTTGATTTTTGAAAGCCACTTGATGTATGTCTGCATCTGCCTTCATACACCTATGTGTGTATATGCGCGTTTAGTTGCCGTTACAGACACCCAAAAATGCATGCATACAAATGCACAGTTCTGGTTGGCACTGACCGATATTGAAACTAGCGCCTTAGTGTACTTACCCTTCCCCCTCCATCACTACAACACATCAGCAAAAAGTCACTTCAGTTAGTTCCCTTTTTGACTTTCAAACTTTCAATTTGTAGAACACAAGACTAGAGTTTGTACTGCGGTACTGTCTGTAATGTACTCGGTTGACTGAAATTTTAAATGACAGGAAAACAAAATAAGCAAAAAACAAGAGTTCAAACTAAGTTCAAAAAAATAAAGCCTGCATTCTCTTGCTGTTAGTCCTGCTGCTGCTACTGCTGTCATTGTTGCTAATGCCGCTGACAGTGACGATGACGATGATTTTAACGATGACAGTGGATGCAGATAATGCTGATGACGACAAAAATGACGATGAAGATAATGATGAAAACAGGTGGTGATGATTATGATTATGATGTTGTTGTCGATGTACAACAGCACTTTCTCAAACATTCATTAGAAACATTCGAATTTTTCTTCTTCTCTTTCTTTCTGTATTTATTTCTACTCTATTAGTGAGCATGTAGTTAAGTACTAAAACTATAAACTATCTTCCTTTTACCCTTTTTTGTCACCAAACCCTCTCTCCAGGAAAGAAATATCGAAAGTGGAGATCAAAACTTGGCGACCACGGCTGAAACAAGTTTGGCACTGTTTTTCGCAAATGCCTGCTCATTTTATTGCACTTCTATTGCTTATATAAGCTTTCAGGCCAAATAAGATGCTTGAAATGTGATCAGTTACGACAACATGACTTTTTTCTCTGAGCTGATAATTTTTTCTTTGCCAAAACAAATTACCACTGCAAAGGAAAAACTGGGAAAAAAGATTTGTCCAATATTTAAATCGTTCATTATTGTGAAGAAAACATTGCTTTTTGTGTTTTTAAAAGAAATTCAGTCAAATTTTTCATCGTCATTTATTTTACCAAGGTAAAAATATCAACGACAGTAACGACAATGGCGACAGCGAAAAATCAAAAAAAAATTTTTGTAGTGCAGTTTTAACAGCTGTTTTCACAGATAGCTGCCAAGAAAGTTAACGATACATATTGCCGCATAAATGTTTTTTCTTTCCTTCCCTTCTCCTTAAGTTTAGTATAGTTCAAATGTTTTACCAGACATACAAAAAAAAAGGCCTTTTTTAATTTGACCTATCACAGATTTTAGTCCTTTTATGGTGCTTCTCTGTTCCGCTTGGGTAAATACCTCTACTGCCCCCTCATCCCTTAACTTCCCAAATCTCACTAAATTTTTTTTCGTTCAGGGCTTAATTCAATGAATATGTAGGCCAGTGGACCCGATTAAAATATCATCATTGCAAAATGTTCGTGAAACCAACCAACCAACAAAGATCAAATAAATATTCCATCTCATCCATAAAATTTGCTCTGCTTTTCATCTCTTCAACGGCTTATAGTGGTAAATAGAGATCAATCCGTTCATTGCACAAAACAAAAGAAAAACAGAATTTTTTTTGTAATTCGCTGCTACGGTAATTTTTCACACGCGAAGTATCAAAGTGTTAGACGAGTCAGTCTTCAATAATCGCAAGGAAAAAAGTTTATACCAGAAATCAAACTGGTTGATCCTTCTCAAATTTTACTTTAGCAGAAAAAAGCTTGTTTTTGAAAGCTACTGCTTTTAACTATTACCGTTAACGACTTTGGTACTGAAAACGTTGTTGTGGTCCTTTTTTACGTTGTTGATGTTGAGTAAAACAATAACGATGACGTATGTTGCTGGCATAAAAATGGAAAAGGTTTGGTGGATAAATCACTTCAAAACTGTAGGAGAAAAAAGTGAATAAACAAAAAAGGAAAAAAACGAGGCCCAGTAACAATGCCTATTAACACGATGTCACATGCCCCGTTTCGTCGTGTCTCACTGTTATAATTGTACTTGCTTCTTCTTCGTCTTCCATGTCCGTTTGATTTCCTAACACTTCACAAAAAACATTAACTTTTTTGCTGTCGTCCTCGTCTATGTCACATAAAGTCAGATAAACACCCGTCTAACAACGGTCAGTGATAGGAATGAAGTAGTAGATACCAGAAAAACAAGCAAAAAGTTGTTGAACAAGAATTCACCGCCGCCACTCCAGATGCTCAAAATGTGCCCTATAAACAACCTGCGGCATGAAGACATCTTATGTAAATGAAAATGATAAGATTATTGTTAGTAATATTGCTACTACACTGATAATGACGCCAATCATCCTACTAATGGCCCTAGTGCAAATGATGCTTTTAGCATCAGCTTGTTGATTCAAAAATTCCCTTTCCTCTTCACTCATAATTTACAGTTAGGAAAAGCTAGCACTATCAAAATTATTTTTTATACAATTTTTTATGTGGCAGTTTATAATCCACAAAATATGCAGAATCACTAAACGGCCCAAGCATAAAAGTGAAAATGAAAATGGTACCGTTGGCAATGATTTAACAAAACAAACTCTAATTAACTAATATGTACTCTCTTGAAAACTAAAATTTTAACTTTTGAGTGGTTCTTTTCTTCTTTCTGTTTAAAACAAGTCCCTAATCTGGTTTTCTTCTCCTTGCCTTCCACTCCCTTACCAGCCACCGTACAATGGAAGGCTGTACACTATGCCGACAATGTTTCATCGGTAATCCTCAACTACCAATAGCTCCACAAAAAAAGTACCTAAAAATTCTCACGAAACAACCGTTACCAACACATCCAAGTTAATCCTTGAACGAGACTTCCATCGCACCAGAACCAAAATCTGAATGCACTAGAAACAATTTGATCCCAACAAAATCTCCTTTTAGAGAACACTAGCCGCAAAAAAACATTTGTCAAAGACCAAAGACCATCAAAATCAGTGAATTTAGGGTAGGCAAAGGAATATACCTGCTTAAGACAACTGACAAAACAATGTTCATTCTACCGATATGTTAAGCACATACTGTCGGCACTCACCAAAGTGGTTCACTGTACTTAGACAGCGGCAGCTACATCAATCTACAGCACTAAACTTCAAAGAAAAAAAAAACAAGTAAATTTACAATGATAAGTGACTTTTTTATATCAAGACCGTCAAGTCGCCACAGACGATAAGGACAGCCATGGAGACAAAATCACGGCTAAAAAGTTCCGCTGATAAATCGATGTCATTGACAGTTGATGGCTTCTAGACAACCGCACAGTTTATACTAGTGGCTATCGACTGCATCACTATTCTTGAGACTGCAAACCAAAAAGTATTCATAGCACCGACCTACTGCCTTCTGAATTAGTAAAATCATATCCAACTAACTACTCCGCTGTTCTTCTGCATGTTTATTAGGGTAGCAGTGTAACTACTTATGTTCTCTAAAGTGCATCACTGCAATAGCCCTAGACAGTTGGTAGATGATAGATAATAAGTGACAAATCGACGAATTTGTTGCCCACTTTTAAATGTTTCTTGCGCAGACAACCTGTTTTGTTATCCTTGACAACCCAAAAAACTTCGCTATATAGCCTCTACCTACCTGCCCCATCACTGTAACCTAAACTGTTATTCTACACCACAACGAAATCTCTCAGAATTAAGAGCTGACAAATAAACGAAATTAGTTCAGAGCATATTTTTGTTTTTACATATCAAAATGAAAAGAACCTTTCAACCTCCGACAAAAAACTGTATGTAATTATGGAGATATTGTATAAAGGCATAACACAAAAAAGAAACTATTTTATAACAATAATAAACCACTAAATGAGACTCAATCGATATAGGTAAAATGCAATAATTTAGCAAAAATGGGAAATTCTCCGAAATCTGATTTCGCCACTCAGTTAACTTCCTTTACTTTTCAAAGATATATAAATTACTTGGTTTCAACATCTGAAAATAACGCAACATAAAAATGAATGCCACTTTAAAATAAAAAAAAAGAAGTAATAGACAAACGAGATAACAATTCAAGCATAATAAAATTGATAAAAATAAAAATAACAAGGAAATGTATAACCAATCAGCAAAAGTAATTGGAAAGTGAAAAACGGAATGAACTTTAATGAGCAGGATACGACTGCAAAATCGGCAAGGAAACTGACTCACTTTCAAATGTCATCTTCAGTAAAATAGCGCGTAAAGAAGTCCTTATAAAAAACAGTAGTTTTTGTGAATGAGCAATAAACAGATTTAGAGGGAAAATATATATATATAAAAATGGAAAGAAATTTCTGATAAAAGTTACAAGCGGTTGCGAACCCATTCAAAAAATAAAAAAAAAAACAAAACACTGACCATACAATAATAATCAAACAAAAGTTATAGCGAAGAAACACCGAAACATGAAAGTTTGGCAAGAAAATAGCTTCACTATAATTGAAATTTCAAATTAAGAGATATGAGAAGTTCAAAGATAGCAAGAATAAAGCAAAAGTGAGATATTTAGTGCAGTATGATATTAGTACGGTATTAGTATGATGCAGTATTAAAATATTCACAGTTGATCTCTTTTTCAGATACCAACGAAAAAGAAAAAAATCACAGAAACCATTTTTAACCTGATAAACATAATAAAACACGATCAACTCAGTTGGTATCCTTCTTACGATAGCATAAAAACTCCATCCAAAAGAAAAAGGTTCACAAAACAAAGTATTTTTTACTCCCTATAAAATAATAAAAAATCCTCACAGATCTCCCTCATCGTCGAATCTTTTCATACTAGATGTATTGCAAAATCCGTATGCGTCACCAACCATAGAGTTCATTATCTCACGTTGAACATTCGCACTCACTGCAGTTTTGATAAGTTCAGACATTTTTTCTATTATTCGAGTAATTTGGAGTTGATGTTCAACCGAATTCTGCAAGCAAAGTTGAGCTTTAACTAAAAAAAATTAAAAAAAAACCTCCCAGACCTTAAACACTCTGAAACAACAATAATAATATGTCTGAATACTAACCTGGAGAAGCTTGTTTTTCAATTGCTTGATTTCGGCATCGCGATCTGCTAACAAAGCAAGCAATTCAACCGAAGACAACTCTGGACTGTATCCACGACAAGTGATACCTGAACAGCGTTAAAGGAAATTAGGACAAATGAGAATATATTCAACAAATAGCCTCTAGTTTAAACACTGACCATTCTTTAAACTCGTTTTTGAAACAGATCGTGGCCGGTCACGATTTGCTGTCTTGGGAATTAAAGCCGGTGAACAAGATGTCCTCAGCTGTGCAGGTGTCCCAGCAATACGTGTTAGCAAGTCGGAATTCGAAGAAGATGCATCAGAATCTCCACTATAAGCAAACCGTTTCAACAGATCTATTAAAAAACACTAAGAGTATTTTAAATTTCGATAAGTCCAGGGTGGACAAAACAAAGGTTACACTATAAATATCATGACGATTTAAACCTTAAAATCGATAAACTTACTCAATAATACTCCCACCGTTGAAACTGCTTTGTTTATGCACATCCTCTTCTAAATTAGGATACTTTACTCCAGTCTGCGAGTTCATTTGGCACTTCCGCTTGTAATTTGCATAAAGTTTTTTGGTTTGCTCCACTGTTAACATACCCAATTCTTCCCCGTATTTCTCATTGGTCAAATCGGCAATTTTCTTCCAAACCTGACTTCTTTCGGCATTAACCTGATGTGACCTAAAAATATCAAAACAAAAAATAAAATCAATTCCTAACTTACTTCAATGGAGAAATAAAGAAAAAATGTCACATATGGAGAAAAATAATCTCAGAAGCATTACCTTATAACTCAAAAAAATAAACTCAAAGAAATGATTCTGTAATAAAAGTTTCCATTTTACTCAGCATCGTTTATCAGCAAAGAGGTTCTCGTTAGATAAAGCAATTTTTTCAATTTTTAATAATACACAATGAACTACGAACAGCTTTCTACCTCGAATGACTTTCAAAAACATCCGCAAACGACAGCGCAGTGTCACAAACAAATTGTCCCCTTTCCTTCTTTTGTAAGTTCGACACAGGAGCTGGCACATTACCAGTAAGACCGTCTTGGTTTGAATTGCCAGATGTCGAAGCAGCACTACTAGAAAAAAATTTGAGTTGATAGACGTGTCTAAATTAAAAATAAGGGTGAAGTGATGAAAAAAAAAACAAAGACATCGAAAAATAAAATTTTAATTCAGTACTAACCACTGCGACAAAAAAGCAAGGAGGTCTTCAGACGGCTTGTCACTTTCACGAACTATCCCCTCTCCATGAGCCACACTCGCTATTTTCTTTAGTTCTCCTACAAGTTATTATTTCTATAATAAAAAAGTAAAGAAGGTTCAAAATAAAACTCTCCATTTCTATAATTTTACTTCAAATAGCACCAAGCAACCGGCAAACAATTACTATAAACTAATGAGAACCTGCAATAGCTTCTTTACATATCCCGTCGACAATATCATTAGCTTCCAAAATCTCATTGTCATCAGGTGGCTCATCGAAATGGGCATCATACGTACTTGGCACAGCATCTTTGGGCTCAACTACGTCTTCAGGCACTGGATTCAACGTAATACCATAGTTAGCTGGGTCCTGAAAGATTCTTTTCAAGTCTCTGATAATCCTCTGAAAAATTCACTATTACTAAAAACAGAAAGGCAGAGATCGTAAAAATGAAAAATAAAAATATTTTGGAAGTTTCAACGATATGAACAAGCGGTCAAAGTAGACGACCAACAATCTAGTCCCAAAATGCACCATTAAAAAAATAAATGAATAAATCAAAAGCTGATAGAAGAACGAACAAACCTTTCTTTTATAATATTTGCATAGCTTTTTACATTGTTCGAACGACAGTTTGTTCAACTGTGGGTACCGCCTATTGATCTCATCTGTTATCTGATGCCAAATCTTATTACGTTCCATATTCGCTGCTGGAGAACGAGAAGCACTGTCCTACAATCAAAAAATAAAAAATAATTTTGAATGCCTGTGTTTATGAAATCTTACAATTAAAAGCGAAAAATACAGCTCTAATTAATAGAAAATAGATGAGATAGTTTCTTTATACTGAACAGGAACACCTATCAGCTTGAAGAAATTTACTTCAACTGAATAACTAATGATTTAATAACCAATAAACAATTTAGAATACAGACTTGTTCGCTTCCTCAAAAGAAATAAAATCTTTCATAATGGCCATAAAAATATACAATCTCTTTCGTGCAAAGTCCCTTCCGCATAAGAAATTACCAAAACAAGAACTCTAAAATAGCTCTTACCACTAAAGCTTCAAATCGTCCAGCCATTGCAACAATTTCTAGACCCCTTTCGCGGTTCATCCTATTCATATCCGCTGGAGTAATTTGAGGTTGACTGCAACAACAACAGGTAGTTATGCAAAAAAGAAAAAATGCTGCACAAAAATTACGAACAAAAAATTCTTGTTCTAACTATATTCTTAAAAAGTATGTAAAGATGAATGAATCACCTGTTGTTAACAAACACCTCAGCTACCTTTGCGTTTGCTTGAGCTATGTCGACCGCACTAAACGGCGAGACAGGTCGTTCAGATTTTATTTCACCGACGGTTCCACTAAATAACACAAAGAAAAGTAAGCTACAGTGAAAAAAAAAGAAACAAGTAAAGAAAGACTTTTAAATGCATGAAATGCATGAAAAAGATAACAATAAATTGAGGCGAAGATATAAAATAACAAGACAAACTAAAAAATAAAGTTTTCAAGAGAGGAATAAGAAACGCTCTCTGTGAAACTGTTACAAACTCTAACCTCAGCTTTGAGCCTTCGTCTACTTCATTTTCCGATTTCGGACGTTTAGGCCTGAAAGATCCATAAAAGTAAACCACAATATGAACACCATTACAATGAACAGCTGATAACTTACCAGTAAGCAACGTCCTTCTCATCACTTCATTAATTAAACTCCCATCCCGATTGATTTCAAGCAAGTGTTTTAAAAATTACAAGCAAAAAAAAAAAAAGAAATCTGCAGCCAACGACTGGAATTTCCTCTATCTTCCCTAAACTTAATAGACAATAATCAAGAAACAAAAAAAACATGTCAAGAACATCAAAAACGAAACAGCTTGCTAAACAAAAAAAATTGAAAATTACAGAAGAAAAAAAAGCCAAGAAAGAAAAATTATTCATGCTTTCTACCAAATGTAGAAAACCAAACTGAAAAATCACTTACGATACATTATTGTTGTCAATTTTGGAGCCTCTTTTCAGTTTTCCTTTATCTTCGGTCATCTGTCCAGATCGAGCTTCTTCACTAACACCGTCTGGGTACTGCATACCATGCACTGCTAGGCGACAATTACCAACGGATCAATAAAAATATTAGCAACTTCGAAGGGTTTTGCTTTCTTTTTTCTATTTTCTTTTGATTTGTCCTTATCCTTTTCTTCTGGCAAGCCTTGTTGCTTCAATAAATGTGATTTCACAGTAACAGGCGTTTACTATTTCCCTTGATGATTTGCATGCAAGGTACAAAATGAGGCAGACACCTGGAAATAGAGACGTTTATGACGATACCGTTTAAAGCTTATGGTCGATTTCACGTAATGGAAACAAACAATAATGGCAAAAACGATGGAGCAAATAAAAAAAAACTTCTTTTAGTGCAAAGCCTCGAGGAAAATCTAGATTCCAACAAAAAATCTTTACAACCTGTTACTTTGAATTACTCATGATAAAGCAAACAAATAAATAGGGGAAGAGATTAACTCAAGTATAGAGTTTACCACTCCTCTCTTATCTCAAAAACTTTCTGGCGACAATGATAATAATGACGATGACGATGACGACGAAAACAACAACAATCATTATAATTACAATGTCGTGTTCGATAAAGCAAAAAAATAAATAAATAAATAAATAAAAGAAAAATAAAAAAAAATACGCTGCAAATGAATATATTCATTACACCTGATGAAAATTTAAGTGGAAGAAAAAATATTAGCGATTTAAGTTGTACTCAGTCAGAAATAAAACATCAAAAATCAACAAAAAAAAAACTTTTCCAGTGCTTCAAACGACTCGCTTTCATTCAGTTAACTTTTTTATCGCTTTCCATTCGTCTTGAGAAAAAAAAAGCTTTAAAAGTTTTCAGATGACAATTCACAAACAAAATAATAATAATAAAATATTTCTTGATCGACAACAAAAATAATAAGGAATAATGAGAGCCCACACATATAATCATCAACTGCCACTATTGCGCTTACTGCCCTTAGCTTCAAATCTCATAACTCTTTCATTTCAGCCATAAACTTTTGTCGACAGTAATAATGATGGACGACAATGACGGCAATGACAGTAAAATGATGTAAACCCGGTAGAAAGTAAGAACAGATGAACGGTGAAAGAAAAAATAAAAAACAAAAATAAAAGTAAAGCAAAAGTCTTCTAAAACAGCGCATCTTCCAATGTTGAGCTACTGGGTATAAGACGCACTCAACCAACCAACACCCCAGCAGCAGCAGTAGCAGCAGTGACAGCACCAGCAGCAGTTCCCACCCCTTCCATAATACACCTGAAAGACGTTGCCACGTCCCGGAAAAACCACTTTTCTAATCAAAATTAGTCCACATAGCTGTTGTTGCCGGTTGCTGTTGATCAATAGAGCACCAGCAGTGGCATCAGCAGCGACAGCAGTAGCAGCAGCAGTAGCAGCAGCAACAGCAACAACAACAACAACAACAACGACAACAACAACAACAAC